ACACGAATAAAAGATTGATCGTGTCACTATTTCTTGCCAAAACTCGTAATTTTTTAAAAATCTGCAGTTTTTCTTCTGGCATATTAGAGTCGCACGTAAAAGGTTAAACTTCCAGAGAAGAGAAGAGAGGAGGGATTGTAGTTCGTTTATATAGGTTGATTTTTTATAAGTGAAAACCTGTTTACTTTGAAATGACAGAATTTCACATGTGTCTAATTAACTACTAACACGAAGAAATTTGTTATTTGCCATGTAATAATATCCTTCCAAAATTCATAAGGTATTTTATTTCTTAATAATTCCTGAGTGAATGGAGTAAAAAAAATTTGTTTGAAATCGATCCACGTAATTTTATTTTTTGATGTGCCACACTTTTTTTATTGAAAACGTTTACTTTCCTTCCACAGCCATACACGAATTAATTTTGAATTTAATAAATAGATAATTAAAATGATAGAATTTCACATGTATGGTCCTCAGATGTCTAATTGTTATAATTATTATCATTATTATTATGCACACTCATCAAAAAATCACCGAATAAGAAAAACCAAAAATTTCAATGCTTTAACATAGCTATGTCAGAAATATATCCTGTCGGTCGGTATAGCGGTGTTGGGGAAACCCATAATAATAATACGATTGGCTGAATATATTAGCATATAAGTGACCGAGTCGTGTGTTTTTATAATATTGTGACACCAAAGAATATCATCAATTTGAAAATTTGGCACTTGGCACAGCACTATTAATCGAGTTTTCGAGTGACACCTTCTGCAGAATTCGGAAGCACAAATGAAAATCTCAATGTAAACTTGTTTATATAATTATCAAGTATACCATACTAATACTTAATGACTTTGAAATACGAATAGTATTTTTATTCGTTCAGAATACTTTTGTGTGTAAATTAAATTAAAACAATGCAACAACATCTACCTCGGTTGCACTAAAAAAAAAAACCTTACTACCCTTTTTAGTATAATTTCTACCCAATCAAAGTTTCCCAGGTTATGTTGTACAAAAAAATTTTAAATAAATAAAATGAAATAGAATTTTAAATTAAATACAATTAAAAACTAACCACATTGCAAAGCAATTTCACCGGCTGCCCATGCTGCATTATTACAAACACTAACATGCTCTATATTAGGATCTACTTGAGTAATCAAATCCCCCATAAATTGATTAAAGTAAGGCTTGACAAGACTAAAACATGCAATAGAAAGATCCCCTAAAAGTGCATATGCTGATTGTCGAACTTCAGCAACAGGATCCTAGATGATAATAATAATCATAGGGGTTATTATTAGTTATAAAATTTACGGCTTTTTCATGATATTACATACATTTAAACAGGCATTCAACAATGGCAACAACGGTGGATTACTTTTTACAACCAAAACTTCGATGCTACTACCTAGCCCTTGAGTCAATCCACTTAATAAATCCAACGCGACAATCATAAAATCTTTGTCTGGTATATCCAGTGAAGGATTTTGTTGATGCGCTTGGAATTGTAAAATTGTAGTATGAATTAATTTAACACATCGGTCAAAAACTGGATCTGCAAATGGTTGAAACCCTAATCCAAGAGCCGTTGTAACAGATGAAAGACACTAATAAAATTGTGTATATATATATGAGTGGGGAGAGTATGTGTAAAGAGCGTGTGCATCAAAGAAATATAAAACTAAAAAAGATATACAATATAATGCACTTTTTTATAACCTCTTTTCATACCTCTAATAAAGGAAACAAATCTCTGTCATCATTTTTCAATGAATGCCACTTTTCGATAAGTGGAGGCATAAGAATATCAATAAACTCCGGTTTGTTAAGTGCCCCATTGACTGAGTCTGCTAAGGTACCAATAGCATCATAAAGAATAAGCAAATTTTTATGTTGGTATTTGTTAAAAGCAAACACAAGATTTCTCAGAATAGGATCCAAATAAGGAACTAATAATTCTAATTCTCCTGCTTCTTCTTCAAGAGTGGCAAAGGCACTGCAGGCAGCTTCTTGAACTCGTTTATTATTATCGAGCACCCTATTCAAGAGCTTGAAGTGAATAAAGGTTAATCAAATAAAAAAATAACCATAATTGAATAAATATATAAAGAAAAAGATTTTAAAGATTTTTTTTTGAAGAAAAAAAGAAAAGTATTTTACCCCATCTAACAATGGTTCAAAATATTTAGGTCTATCTTCTAAAGGATTTGGTGGGTTGACACACCAACTAGAATAACGACCTAAGGTCCAACATGTAATTGATCTCACCAAAGGCTAAATTAATATTTTTTAAAAAAAAAATTTATAAATTATATATAAAACATAACCAAAGAATAGGTCAAACTTATGATTAACAGAATGACATTTAAATATTTACTTACTTTAGGATCACTAAGTGTTTGAATAAGATATGGAATTAGATTGGGTAAATGCGGTTCCACACCTTCCATACACCCTTAAAACAAGTAAAAAATACATATATCATATAAAAATAATAATATTTGTATATATAATAAAATTTTTATAAATACCTTCAGATACAGCTCCTAACGCTAAAATCCCACATTCTCGATGCTTCCATTCTTGATGGAATAATTGTTCTCTCAAGAAAGGTAATAAAATTTCCAATAATTCGTTTTTAAACACATTTGCCATAACATCCAGTGCAGCAGCTGAACATTTTCTTAAGTTCCATTCAGAGTAAATGTCTTCATCTTCTTCATCCAAATCATCATCATCCTCCTCTTCTTCATGACCTTCATTAGGTCTATTAGTATTTACAGGTGCCTCCTCTCCATTTGTTTCTATTCGTTCAAAGCCATGTAGTTTGGAACGATGAAACCGAGGTTTAATGTCTTGTTCACTATCTGGAACATTAGTATCATCTTCGTCGCCACCAAGAGTCAAAATATCCATGTCACTATAAATCATTCCTTTTAATAACACTGGTACAATTTTTGGTAAAAACGGTCTTAAATGATTACGGAGCTCTTCTTGCTCCGCAAATGCCAACCAAAATTCACAAGCCTCAAGTGCAACTTGTTCGTCATTGTCTTGTGTGGAAAACAGCATATAATCTACGACATTAGTAATTTCGGGTAAAAGTTTATCGGGACGAACCTCAAGTAACATAACCAAAGCTTGACAAACATTTTTACGAACTTC